CATTCAATAAAGTCTAAACAGGAAGCTCGTTTGTAGAACTCCAATCCCTCGTGTAACACCACTAACACCCAGGAGAGCCAGCCTGGCTCCAGCGCGGGCTGGGTCAGGGTTCAGTGTCAGGTTGATGTGTCTTCCCTTGAGCCTCTCCATAAAAAGCTGCAGTCGCTGCTGGCCCATTCAGTGACTCCAGCTGAACAGGGGGGTCCTTCTCTGGCCCGCCTACCAGGGGAACTGCTCCTAACACGGCAGGGCTCACCACGCTTCTCCTCTCCCATGTGGTTTGCCGAGGAAAGGGAAGTGCAAGGGCAGGAAATGTTACTTTAGCCAAACTCTTTGCCGAGGGCTCCTGATACAGCTGGTGAATAGGACTCCAGCACCAGGCCTGACTTTGAACGAGGTGAGTCTTTGGGGTGAAGCTGCTGCCTGAGGTTCCCTAAACCCAAGGACTCCACTCGTCAGTCAGGACTGGCCTGGCCAGGGGGCCTGGACCAATTTTTATAGTGGGGGGGCTGAGAGCCTTTGAACCAAATGGCAAACCCCGGATATAACGGAAACTACTTCAAGCCAGGGGGTGCGGCAGCATCCCCAGCACCCCTACTTCCAGCACCTGTGGGCCTGGTCTGGGGCCAGCCAGCCACTTTTGGTGGAGACAGTTGCCAGGCAGAGCTGGGCAGGCCCTGCTGGGTTGAGCTGGCGCACTGCTGTTCACCAGTGAGACCTGCAAGAGCCGTGCTGAGCCCTGGTGACGTGCAGTGTCCTCTGAGCCGTGCCAAGGGGATGTCTGGGGATGTGTGTCTGTGTGTGGGGTGGGGTGGGGCGGGGCAGGCACTGGGATGTGCTCACAGGAACTAACACAAACTCGCCACTGACTTCCTGTCCATTTGCTGAGCTGATGCATTTACACTGCAGGTCAAATCTCCACTGGAGGGTCTGGGCTGTTTTCCAGCCTCGCTCTCTGTCTCTGGCTCTTCCTGGAGAAAGTGCTGACTGCCGCCTTCCTCCTCTTCCTCTTCCTGAGAAGCAAAGGGTAACCAGGTAACTGCTGCTTTTCTGTGATTAACACTGGGCTGAGTTTCTGGAGAAAAGGGGCCAGAAGGAAGCGCATTCCATGCTGCAGCCCAGGAGCAGAGCAGGAAGGGTTAAAGCCTCATAGGGAGTCAGTGTTGTGGGGCTGGGTGTCTCTGGGGCTGCTCACAGGATCCAGACCCTCCCCGTTCAGTTCCAGCTCAGAGCACTAGTGACCTGGTGGTTTTCTGATGGTCCCAGCCCAGTTCCTAGAGACAGTAACTGGCCACATCACCAGGTGACCATCTCCCTGGGCACTCAGGCATCAGAGACCCCAAGGATTGGGTACAAGTGGCGGATGAATTGCTCTGCCCCATAGTGGGTCCTGCTGGCTTGGGGTGAGCTACATGGAAAGCTGGCAGGCCTGGCCAGGCCTTCCACTGCCGGCTGCACCTCGGGCACATTCAAGGCCCTTCGTTCTCAGTGTTTATTTTGTTTACAATTTGCCAGGAATTTATCGGTGTTTATTACAAGAATAAAAAACCGAGTGCAAATCAGTGCAAAACATCACTTCACAGTTTTCAGGCTGAATATCAGGGTTGATATTCAGGGATGGGGAAAAGAAAAAAAAGCCACAAACAGAAAAGTCATAGTCCTGAGAGTAAAGGCAATTTCATGCTGTGGTTTATTTCCTGAACTCTACATTAACGGTATGTTGGCAGGGTTCTGATCACCGTGTTGGCCCCAGGATATTAGAGAGACAAGGTGGGGGAAGTAATGTCGTGTATTGGACCAACTTCTGTTGGTGGATGGTCCCTCACCTGCCTTGTCTCTCTCATTAACAATATGGACACAGGTGCACACGCATGCGTGCGAGTGTTTGTTTGTTTGTATCTTCCACTACACAGCCGAACTTCCTTACACATTTACACGTCCACTAACTTATTATTACCATCAACACATGGCTGTAATGTCAGGAGTTGGATGTTCTTAACACAATTTGTATTTTCCTGTCCTTGAGTGGCCCAAAGCTCGGTGACAACGAGTGCAGTGCTGGGTTGTGCCTTTTGTGCTTCTTCGGACTCTGGCTGAAGCCTCCTGCCCCTGCTCCGCTCTGAAGAGTCAGGAGATGGTTGTGTAATTTCTGTTTGACAATAAACCGCCCTGGTAATGCTTGAACTCACCCCAGGGCTTTTTAGCCCTTCCCTCCTTCTGCTTCAAGTTGCAAACTCAGCTGCTGGGAGGAATTCACTTGTGTGTCTCCTCTTCCTGGGTTGCAGCAATCAACAAAGTCTTTTGCCATCCGCTGGTCCATAGTATTTCGTCTGGTGTTGCTGGGCCTGTGTTGTCAGGCAGGACATAACAGCTGCTTTGGGAGACTCGCGTTTCACACTGGTTCATGCTTCTCTCCTGTCCGCTGATGTGCACAGCTACAGACGCTTCCAATGCGAATGCTCCAGTAGCACCGTACACGGTGGCTACAGCTGTTATAAGTGAGATTAACACAGGCAGCAACTCACACGCATTCAATAAAGGCTAAACAGGAAGCTCCTTTGTGTAACTCTAATCCCTCGTGTAACAACACTAACACCCAGGTTTCAGAGTAGCAGCCGTGTTAGTCTGTATCCGCAAAAAGAAGAACAGGAGTACTTGTGGCACCAGTCTCTAAGGTGCCACAAGTACTCCTGTTCTTCTTTTTACTAACACCCAGGTGAGCCAGCCTGGCTCCAGCTCGGGCTGTGTCAGGGTTCAGTGGAGACATGGGGGGCTTGGCATGAGCTGGTACCTGGTTTGCCAGTGTCACAGCCCCCTAGCAGCAGCACCGTTACCTGCCCCTGAGTGCAGTGTTTGTCATTGAAAAGGGACATAGCAGCTCGTCTGTTATCGCTGTTTGTTATTACGTGTGTTAGTTACAAAGCCCCCACCCTGGACTAGGTGTGTGTTGATATTGTATCCAGAACATCTGGAGCCTTTTTGTAGCAGCCCAGGGTTTATCTGGCCCCTCGGCAGTTTGCGGGTTTAACCGCTCCCCTCCCTCCACCCTGCTCCGTCCTATTTAACCTCCTCTTGCCAAGTCCCTTTTCTGGAGCTGTTTTCCCATCAGCCTTTATCATTTCTTGCCCTGAAAACAAAAGTCCCATTCAAGAGCCAGATCTGCCTCCCTGCCCCCTACCAGGGGGAGTATGAAATCAGCAGGTG